TCACTAGAGTGACTGTATTACTCAGAGCAGCAATAGATAATAAATGTGACTTCACCAGAATTTGATATGGTCACTAGTTTAACTGTTCTTTGCTAGAACAATGGTGGAGGGAAGAGTTCAACCCGGGAAAGGTATGGCTGGTGAAAGGTGGTAAGGTGTTATTCATGAAACAGTAACAGTATTGTAATTAGCAGTGCCAAAAATTATATAAAAGTGCCTGTCATAGAGGCAGGCTGGGGGCTGGGAGAGGAACAGTGGCGGAGGGAAGTAGACAATGGTGAAGGGATTGGTGCTGGAACATTGGATGACTGAAACCCAGTCATGAATAACTCTGTAATCTATGGTGACTAAATAAAATTTTTTAAAAAAGAGTTTTAACTGTCTTAACAGCTTTGGAGTGATATTTTATTGTGAGTAAAAACTTTATTTCCTTAACCTCAAGTTTCATTGAATATCTTTTCTTGTGCTTAACTTACTTTTTGTCATCTTCGGTGAAATAAATGTTTTTGTGACTATTTTGATCATTCTATAATTTGACTTTTATGTTGAGATTTAAGAGTCCAGTATGCATTCTAGATATGAGATATTTCTCAGCTACATGGTTTGCAGACCCATTTCTCCTACTGGTTGTCTTCATAGCATAGTGTGTCTCTAAGCACAGAGGTACACTTTGTTGATTTTTCTTTATGAAACTTGATAGCAGTATCAATAATTTTTCTATGTTGTTAAATATTTTATAACTTCAAATCTTGTACAGCCATGATCTAACACTGAATTTGATTCTTTATCAGGTTTATTCTTGACTGTGGTTGTCCAAAAATTGTTCCAGTGCCTTTTCTTTCAAAGACTTCTTTCTTCTTTTGAATTACTTTGGCATCTTTGTTAAGAATTATTTGGTTCAAGGCCAGAGATATAGTATAGCAGATAGGGTGCTTGCCTTGCACACAACTGCCTGGGCTTGATCCCTGGTATCCTGAGATCCCTGATCTGTGTTTGTTCCCTGGCATCCTGGTTCCCTGATTCCTGTCAGGAGTGGTCTCAGTGCAGAGTCAGGAGTAAGCCTTAAGCACTGATGGGTGTGGCCCCCAAACCAACCTGCACCGCCCCCCCAAAAATCCATAAAAACAATAGCAAAAATTAGTTGATTGTCCTTTTATTTTTGAGTTCTCTCCTTTATCTATTCACCTGTGTCAAACTCCACCAATACCAGATTTTTGTTATTATTATTATTGCTGCTGCTGCTGCTGCTGTTGTTGTTGTTTTGCCAAACCCAGCAATGCTCAGGTATCACTCCTGATAGTGCTTGGGGAACCATAAGGGATGACTGGAATGGAACCCAGATTCGTTGTGTGCACGGCAAGTACCTTACCCACCGAACTGGCTCTCCATCCTCCAGAATCTTTATTATATCTTTACATTGATTAGACAGATTCTTCTACTTTATTCTGTTTCACAAATGTGAAAGGCTTTATTTCACAATTAAAGGTGACTTATTTGCCTTTCATATAAATATTAGGATAACTATGTCTGTGCCTGTAAATCACATTGCTGAGATCTTGATAAGAATTGCATTCTCTATAAATTTAAAGATAATTGATATGTTTATGCATTGAGTCCTTCAGGAATGTGGAATAGCTTTTTATTTATATCTTCTTTGATTTCCTTCATCGGCTCTTTTGTCATTTTTAGTATACATGCTTTGCACATTCTATTAGATTAACATGAAACAGTTTCCTTTCCTCTAGTTTTACTGAGATATAATGGGCATGCCATTTCCTGTAATATTTCCAGTGTATGATTGAGAGCATTTTTTCCCCACACTCATTTGGGCTCTGTGACTCTCTCTGTAAGGTGTATAGCATAATGACTTACACATATAGTGAAACAATCACTACAGTATAGTTAACATTCATCATCTTGTAGAGATATTAAAAAAGGAAAATTTTTTTCCTTATGAGAATGCTCAGGATTCACTCTTTTAGAAACTTTAGAATGTACCATACAGTAATATTAATTGAAGTTACCATTTTATGCATTTTATGTATTCGTACTACTCAATTTTCATGTAACTGAAAGTTTGAGCCTTTGACCTTTTCATCTAAATTCCCAATTTCATTACCTCTGATATTCCAATCTGATCTCTCTTCAACAAGTTTTAAGTTCACATTAAAAATGATATCATAATCTTTCTCTGACTTATTTTACTTAACACAATGCTCTGAACTTTTCTCATAGCTTCAACTGGCAGGATCTCATTTATTTTATGGCCAAGTAACGACCCCCTATATACACATGCCACTGCTTCTCAGTACATTTATTCACTGATGGACACTTAGGGTGTTTCCACATCATGGCTGTTCTGAGTAATGCTGCTGTGAGAATGGAGTGCAGGCAGCTCTTTGACATAGTGTTTTCATTACATTTGAATAGATTCCCCGAAGTGAGATTGCCAGATCACATAATAATTTCATCTCTGCTATTTTGAAGGGGACTTTTATACTTCTTCCCCAAGTGGCTGTAGCAATTTACGGTCTCATTAGCAGTGCATCAAGGTCTGGTTCTCTCTCCTCCTTGCCATCGTTTTTTGATGCTTGGGGTTTTGATGATAGTTGTTATAAAACCTAGGTACACTATTTTAACAGTTCCCCTCTCTCCTCTAGCAATTATGCATTTATATGGCAATTTTAATTTTGTTTTAATGTAATTTTAATTTAATTATGCAATTCTTGTATTTAGAAATTAGATTTATTTTGTGTTTTGCTTTATCCTTACTTCTCACTGAGTTGTTTATTAGTTCTAACACCTTTTTATTTATCTTTTTTATTCGATATAAACTTTTCCAAATAGGAAACATTTCATTTCTTTCTTTTTGATCTACGTATCTTTTATATCCTTGCAGTGTGCTGGATAGAACTTCCAGTGCTACATTGAAAAGTATTGCTGAGAGTGGACATTCTTACCTCATTTTACATCTTAGGGGAAAGCATTTAGTCTTTCACACGTAAGAATGATGTTAACTGTGGATTTGGGTGGGGGAGAGTTGGTAGAATTTCCTTCACTTCCCTTTTTCTGTTATTACAAAGGGGGCTGGGGCAAAGGGGGAGGGTGGTGACCACCTTCTGGCCTTGTTGCTCACCAGGAATTTCACACTTTTGCCTTGCACTCTTGAGCCTGTGGCTCATACACAGGCTCTATTGTGCCACTAGGATCTCACTGAGCATTTGAGGAGGTGCTGGGACTTGAACTCACTGCCTCATGTAGGCAAAGGCTGAGCTGACCCTGGCCCGTTTTGCAGATTTTTAAAAATTCAGGTAGAGTACATTTCCTTTTATTTCTAGTTTTCTTAGAGTTTTTGTTATGAATAAATTATAGCTGTTTTTTTCCTAATGCATTTTCTAATGCTTTTTGCTTGGATCATACCTAGCAATGCTTAGAAGCAAATCCTGACAGTACTTGGGGTAATATATGTAGTGCCTTGGTGGGATAACACCTTAAGCAGTTAACACCTTAACTGTTTCTCAAATTTTCCTTCCATATAAGTTGGGAAAAACCCTGATTTTTTTGGATTAGCCTATTGATTACATTAAAAAAGTTTACTTATTGTGTGGTGCTAGGGATTGAACCTAAGGACTCACACACGCAATGCATGCACTCTACCACTGAGCTGCATTCTCAGTTCTCACTGGTTTTTCAGTATTGAACTAGACTTGTATCTCAGAAAGATTTCACTTGGGGCCATAGAGATACTACAGTGGGTAAGGTGATTGATTGCTTTTCATGTTGCTGATCCAGGTTCAAATCCAGGCATCCCATACTTATCTGAAGCAATTCCTGAGTTCAGAGCCAGGGGTAACCCATGAGCATCTCCAGGTTTGGCCCCCCCCCCCAAAAAAAAATTAAAAACAAAATTTCACTTGGACTGCTGTATAATTCCTTTTTATCTTTTGATTACCGATTTACATGGGCTGGAATGATAGCACAGCGGGTAGGGCGTTTGCCTTGCACACAGCCAACATGACCAACTTGGATTCAATTCCTCTGCCCCTCTCAGAGAGCCCGGCAAGCTACCGAGAGTATCTTTCCCGCACAGCAAAGCCTGGCAAGCTACCCGTGATGTATTCAATATGCCAAAAACAGTAACAAGTCTCACAATTTGTTGTGAGACATTACTGATGCCCACTCGAACAAATCGATGAACAACAGGAGGACAGTGCTACAGTACTACTGATTATATAGACTGTATTAAGGATTTTGTACCTGCATTCATAAATTTTTACTGCATACCCCCCTTTTATAGTTTTACTATCAGTTAATACTATAACCACAGTAACAGTAGCTCTGTGAAATCTTACCTCATTGTCTATCCCACAAGTCATAGCTATCCTTGGCTTCTATTTGTTGTATGAAGAGGCAAAATTGTTTCAGGCTGTGTAATATCTTAAGTACATTTCTGGTAATTTTTTTGTGACTACTTCATAGATACAAGTGTGAGTAAGCACTATGTGTTAGTATAGTGGATGATGACCAACTGAGTATACAATCTGATATTAAAGATTTGACGTTCTGTAGGAGGAGTCTGAATTTATTACCCATTTCCTCAATTCACCAACAACCAAACTCCATTCAAGAGAACAGTAAATACTATTTGAGTTTAATTCTGAAATTCTGAAAACTAAATTTAAGTCCAGAGTCAGTAAGCAGAAAGTAAACATGTTTCTGTGTTATCCTTTTCATCTTGTTCTTGTCTGGTATAAGAACAACAGAAAACCAGGAAACTAACCCTTTTCTTCTTGTTCATTCATCCATGAAAGAATTAATAAAGGTGTCATAAACAGTTTATTACAGCACTAGAAATACTTCAGTATAAAGAACGTAGTCAAAAGCACCACCAAATTGTTGATGTCATTGGGCATATATTTAGAATGGAGTCACTGAAAAGCATTTTGCAATCATAGATTTGCTGGGGTGCCATTTTCTTTCTTTTCTTTCTATCAATGTAGATTATGTGAAATCCCTGCGGAGACCTGTGGCTTCCAGGTATGCAGATGGCCTGTTTCCGAGGTTCTATAGAGTGGAAGATGGCAAAGTATTCAACGTAAGTGGGAATTCCCTCCATGCACAGCATCCTGGAAACACTGCAGAGGGTTGGAAGTGATCTCTGGAGAGACTCATGTTGTTTTGCACGATGGAAGATTTCTCTATCAGGGCAGCACTGACAAGTCCCAGCCCAGAGCTGGGAGGGAAGTTTGACCTGTAAGAGAGCTGCTTTGGCGGGTCCTTAGGGACAAAAAATGACTTGTCTCTCTGCAGAGCCCTTTGTTCCACCAGTTGAGCCCTGATTCTCCTGCCCTGTGCACACCCTGGTTCAGCACAGGTGCTCAGTTGTCCAAGACACATAAGCCAGTACATTGGTTTTTGAGTATTTGTTCACATCTATGGACATTCAGGTACGATTTGGACTGCTAAACTGAGTATTTTTAAATGTTTCATTACTTTTTTTTCTTTTTTGGTCTTCTAATTGATGTTAGGAGATCTGGGGGCCCTCCCTGTGAACTTTTTGCTTGTTTCTTTGGGCACATCCAGAAGTGCTCAGAGCTTACTCCTGACTCTATCTCAGAGGTCACTTCTGGTGGAGTTTGGGGACTATATGGGGTTCTGAGAATTGAATCCAGGCTGGCTGTGTGCAAGGCAAGTACCCTCCCTGCTGTACTATTGCTTCAGCCCCCTCCCTGTGATTCTTGGCAAACCAGGCCATCAATTCCATGCAAAAGCTTTAGGTTGTGGTGCTGGAGAATCACTTTATGGCCACTCCAGCTAGGCTCAGGGTCTCCAGGGCTGTACTCAAGAGTGACTCAGTTGTCCATCAGATGGGAGCTGCCTCATATATCTTAACCTTTGTAGTGTCTCTTCAGATCCTTGTACATTTTCTTCTGAGCCAGGTTCTCAGGGATAATATTCATGCACTCTTGAGTTGATGTGTTAAGTAAGTCTGGAGTATGGTCACATCACACCGCTGTGGAAAATGTCTGTCTTCATCATCTATTTCACCTCATAGGCCTAAGGGTGTGACACATTCTGAGGCTGCATTCTGTGCTGTGGTCAAGAATTGTAACGAGGACTGTGAATGTTGGGGAAGGGCCAGGAATTCTGCTTTCAGGGGCTGTTGAAAGTGATGCTGGAGCTTGAGGAAATTAAAAAGATACAACTGGACAGGAAGAACAGAAGTTTAAGGCAGAGGACAAGTACAGGATAAGACATGAACAGGTGAAATTAGCTGTTGTGTTCAGGAAAAAATATTTTCCTTAGAAATTCAACATTTTGAGGACATTTTAAAGGTTATCAACATGTTTTTTAAAAAGTACATAATCTTTTGGGCCGGAGTGATAGCACAGTGGGTATAGGGCGTTTTCCTTGCAAGCAGCTGACCTGGGTTTGATTCTTCCATCCCTCTTGGAGAGCCCGGCAAGCTCTTGACAGTATCCTGCCTGCACGGCAGAGCCTGGCAAGCACCACATGGCGTATTCAATATGCCAAAAACAGTAACAACAAGTCTCACAATGGAGACTTTACTGGTGACTGCTTGAGCAAATTGATGAACAATGGGAGGACAGTGCTACATCATCTTTTAAATTTTGATTTTTACAAAAGTACAGTTCATTTTCCCTTGTTTCTTTTTATATCTTCAATCTTTCACACCCCAATACATCTTGCTTTATCTATAGGATGATAGTTTTCTTTTGTTTATAGTTTCCCACAAGTTTATGTTACCTTTCAGCAGCAGCCCCTAAAACTGGTGTTAATAATTGGTGATCAAATGATTTGGGTATAGAGGCTCTTGTCCTTAAGGGAGACAGATAGGACATAGATTATGACAAGAGCTGAAATCGGCGGGGAGACACCCTTGAAGTTTGACACATGTGCTAGCATGCTTGGAAGCATTTTCAGAGCTATTTTTAGCACGTTGGATTTAGGACAACTTTTTAGTGAGAAATCCCCCTCCACTCCCATTTGCTTTTGCTGATCTCTCTTTTCATCTTTGAATTCTTTTACCACTTAGCACTTTTTCAGTCAAGATAATCCTATAGCTATAAAGATAAAGGATGTACTGTAGGATGGGAGAGATAGGGTTAAGGCCTGCCTTCCACAGGGCCTATCCCCATTCAATCCCCAGTGCCCCATGTCACCTCCCGAATGCTTCCAGGACTGTAATCCCTCACTATAGAGCCAGAAGTACTACTGAGTGTGGCCTCCAAACAAAATCAAAGCCTCGGCCTCACCATAAAAAACTCAACACATTCTGTATATCTTTTTTCCTCCCTTGTGCTTCATTTTTTTTTCCTTTTTGAGTCACACCTGGCGATGCACAGGGGTTACTTCTGGTTCATACACTCAGGAATTACTCCTGGCAGTGCTCGGGGGACCAGATGGGATGCTGGGAATCGAACCTGGGTCGGTCGTGGGCAAGACAAACGCCCTACCCACTGTGCTATTGCTCCAGCCCCTTGTGCTCTACTTTGAATGGATCATATTGTCATCTTTTCTTCCAAGGATAATCACTTGAAAGTTTGGTGTTCTTCCACCTGCATGGTATGGAGTTCAAAGAGTCATCATGCAACCATTAGTCTTGCATGGTGCGTGGTGGCAGAGGTTCTGACTCGGTCACCTTGTCTTCAACTGCACTGTGCTTCCCCTCGTGCTCAGACAGTGGCTCATGGCTTCTTGGGCCTGTTTTAATTTTTCATGCTTATTTTTATTAAGTTGACAGCAAACTCCGAACTGATCTCGCAGTTTGTGGAAGGACTCACACAAGCTGTGGAGAGCTACAAGCAGCGGATGGCCTGGCTCACCAGCAGAAGCAGGCAGGTTTTTGGTGTCATCTTGGAACGGTGCATCACCATTGTGCTGGATCTGGGCGGCATGCTGGAGCAGGAGCTTCACCTGTGCCAAGACGCACTGATAATGGTCCTCCGAGAGCAGGTGGCTCTCATCGACAAGTTCAATATCATATGGTGAGTTCCCAGGGGAAGAGGCTAGATCAGGGAAATGTTATAAATAATTTCTATTTTTCTGGAGTCATCTCTTTAGGGAGAGAGAGTGTATTATCCTGTTATTTCCTAGGATATATAATTCCAGTAGAAAGTCCACTATGAATACATCACAGAAAACAGTCACCTGCTCTGCACGTAGCAACTTAGTTTTCAAATTAGAAATATTTATCAAAATCTTTTCTTCAATCTTTGGCAAGAGTAAAAGATAAAAACATGAATTATATTGAATGTCTACTTAAGACCTCAGGATCCCTGAACTCAGTTTAGATTTTGGCCTGAATAATGAATGCAAACTTGACACAAATTTCTTTTCTTCAAACTGAGTTTATAGTTCAAGTGTAAGTTAACACCTTTCTTCAGAACAACATGTAACTGGCTTTATAGAATTTCTCCCATTTGAGAGTTTTCATAATCAGTTATTTGTGGGTTCTTAGATTAAGATAATTTGGATTGTAGTGTTCACTTTTATATGAATATAGCCTGCTTCTTTCTGATCTGAAACATCTGTGGTAAGGGGAAACATCTGAGTTTTTCTTTTTAAAATGATTTTCAGCTTGAAGTCAGAGCAATAGTACAGCAGGTAGTGTGTTTGCCTTGCATGCAGCTGGTCCAGGTTTGATTCCTGGCCCCTGAGCCACACCAGGAGTGATCCTGTGCAGAGCCAGAAGTAAGCCTTGAGCACCACCAGGTCTGGCCCCCAAACTAAAACAAAAAAAAATGTTCTCAGCTAAATATATGATATATTTGGAACAGCTGCCTAATCATATTCTGCACCAGACATCTCCTTTTGTCATTACATTTATTATTGAAGGCTTATGTGTGATGCTTTAGCTTTCTTGGAAGTATATTCTTATGGCAATGGAATCTCAGCTGAATTCTCCTCCCAGAGGGGAGGTAAGTGTGTGGCAGAGGGGAAACAAATCAGGGTGGTTCACCTAGTTCATGATTTATCTAATTGTGACAATTAGAAATCCATACACTATGGTGTCATTTTTCATTTATAAACTTAGAGATAAATACATTCAAATAGTTATTCTGTGTTTGTGTAGGGGTTCTATCATGTATCCAGGTCCAAGCTTATTAATAAAAAATTCCTGCCACTCAACAACAGTTGGTCAAAGTCATCAGAACTGAATATTTTTGTCCAGAGAATTGAGCTTTCATGGGGGTAGACAGAGTGGGAAGGGGTCCTTGGGACACTGGTGGAGGGAAATGGGCTCTTTAGTAGAGGGTATGTGTGGGGATGAAGCATCCGTGAAATGTATGATTAACAGTATTATAAAGCCTGGTACCTCAATAAAGATCGTTTAAAAATTCTCTTATTCAAAAACTTATTCTTAAGGGTGGGAGAGAGAACACAGGAGGTAAGGCATTTGCCTGGCTCACTCCTGAGCAATCTCCAGCACTCCATATGGTCCCCAGAGCCCCACCAAGAGTGATTCCTGAGTGTAGAGCCAGGAGTAAGCTCCACGCCACCGCGTATGGACTCAGTTCCCTCCCAACTGCCCCCACTTCCCCAGCCCCAAAACTTATGTTTAGGGTAGGAGACATAGCTCAACAGACTGATCACATGCTTTGCATTCAGGAGACCTAGATTCTGATTCCAAGTATGATACGATCTCCCAGGACTACTGATCCCCAAGCACAGAACTGGGAGTAGTCTCACAAACAAACAAAAAACCCAAAACAAAATAACCAAAAAGCTTCCCCATTGCTTAACTCAGAACAATGCTATTTGTTTTATTTAAAAATGTAATTGATAAGAATGTCTCGGGAAAATGAAACTGATGTTATAAAGAGTTTGAAATAAAATTTTAGAGTAATAAAGTTGTTGCTGATCTGCCTGTATTAATGTGGTGAATTCTTACAAATTTATTCTTCATGACAGTCAAAGTTAAATCAAATATACCTGTTTATAAGAGTAATGCCTTTGATATTTTTAAGCACCTGTCATTGTTTCCATTTATGAGATCTCTTATTCTCTTGCAGTCCTTGTTTTTTGGAGCCAGTACAGATTATGGGAGGTATAGTTGCCTTGGAAACCTGTCTTAGACATCATGCCATTTTCTTGTTACTTTTCTAGGGATAGGGGCTGTGTTGATCTTTCTGTTGGCTCTGATGGTCTCTTTGTAGCTGTGCTATGGATGCCAGAATGGCTGTCTTTGTAATTCCTTGCAGGGTTTCTCAGAAGCCTGTGAAATTTCAAGAAAATGCCACTCGTGTGACTCAAGAGTCAATAGCTGCAGCCATCATTTGGGTTAAGGAACTGACTTTCAAGCTGCCAGTAAGCCCAACTAGCTGCCTGGACGCCCTACTGGAAGCTGGCAAAGACAGAACCGTGAGTTTGTGTCAGGGCCCCGGGAGCCATTCATCTGCACTCAGTTCCTTCCCAGAAGCACCCTTCCCAGTTCTCACAGCGATTTCTTTATTGGCATTGAAGAACCCTACAATAAGCTTTAATTTTCTCTACCTCTGAATTTAGAAACTGTGAAAAAATAGGTGGTCATAGGAACAGGTTCCTGAGGAGCATCTGCATAGTAGCTCTGGTGATCATGGAACTGGACCTACCAAAGCCAGATCTCTAACACCTGTCTCTTGAACTCTCTCTGTATTTTGGTCATTGTTTCTTTTGAGGTGCAAAAGCTTCTTAGTTTAATGTAGTACCATTTGTTTATGTTTGTTTCCACTTGCTTGGTCAGTGGTGTTTCATCCTTAAAGATGCCTTTAGCTTCAATGTCATGGAGTGTTTTGCTTACATTTTCTTCCATGTACCATATGGATTCAGGTATGATATTGAGGTCTTTAATCCACTTTGTTTTTCTTTTTTTCTTTTTTAAAATGATTATTTATTTATATTTATTTATTTTTATTGAATCACCGTGAGAACAGTTACAAAGCTCTCAGGTTTAAGTCTCAGCCATACAATGATCAAACATCTATTCCTTCACCAGAGCACATGTTCCACCACCAAGAACCCCAGTATACCCCTCATCCTGCCCCTCCCCTGCCAGTGTGACAGGTGATTTTCACTTTACTCTCCCTTTACTTTGATTATATTCAATTTTTCGACAGAAGACTCACTATTATTATTTGGAATTTTCCCCCAATTATCAGACCTTCCGAAAAGGCATCATTAGATAATTTGTTTTCTGTTGCTGATAATGAAGAGCATATGATGTTGCTTGCGGCCACACAATTTTGGATTTCTGGTATTTTAGTAATTAAGTCCAGAGGGATTTCTGCCAAAAGCCAATGGGTTCTGAGATTGGTTTGTGTGCCTCTGGGATCATGGCCATTCAGGAGCAGAGGAGCCGTTTGTAGGTGGCAACTTGGGGTCTTGTCCTGGTAGGGGCCAGTTCTGCCCCCTACCTCGAGAGACCCTATGTGCCCTGTCACTGCAAGCCCATACCTCTCTGTCCAATATTTAATCCACTTTGATCTGAATTTTGTGCCTGGTGTTAGACAGAGGTCAGAGTTCTTTTTTTTTTTTTTTGCAGGTAGCTGTCCAGTTTTCCCAGCACCAGTTGTTGAAGAGGCTTTCCTTGTTCCACTTCACATTTCTTGTTTCTTTATCAAAGATTAAGTGATCATATATTTGAGAGTCTGTGATAGAATATTCAACTCTGTTCCATTGGTCTGTGGGTCTGTTTCTGTTCCAATACCATGCTATTTTAATTTATACTGCTTTGTAGTAAAGTTTGAAGTTGGGGAAAGTGATGCCACACGTCTTGTTTTTCCTAAGAATTGCTTTAGCCATTTTTGTGAGTTTATTGTTCCATATGAATTTCAGGAGTGTTTTGTCCATTTCTTTGAAGAATGTCATGGATATCCTGATAGGGACCACATTAAATCTGTATAGTGCTTTGGGGAGTATTACCATTTAGATAATGTTGGATAATGTTAATCTTCTCTATCCATGAGCAGGGGATGTGTCTCATTTACTAGTGTCCTCTCTTATTTCTTAAAATAGTGTTTTGTAATTTTCTTTGTATAGGTTCTTCATTTCTTTTGTTAAGCTGATTCCAAGGTACTTGATTTTCTGAGACTCTATTGTGAATGGGATTGTTTTTCTAAATATCTCTTTCTTCTCTTTCATTATTTGTATATAGAAAAGTCATGGACTTTTGGGTGTTGATTTTGTAGTCTGCCACTTTCCTATACAAGCCTATTGTTTCTAGGAGCAATAGGAGCTTTTTTTTTGTAGAATCTTTAGGATTTTTCAAGTATAGTATCATATTGTCCGCAAATAGTGATAATTTGACCTCTTCCTGAAAGTTTCTTTTAAAAATATGGCCTTTCAGTATTCTTGCCAGTATTCTTGGGTCAGATTACAAATATCATTTCAACTATTGTTTGTTTGAGCATGTTTTTTATCCCTTCTTCTACTCTGACAGTCATGCTAGGGATTCTTGGTTGGAAGTTCTTTTCTTTCAATATTTCACATATGCTTTTCCATTCTTTTCTTGCATGTCACCTTCCTGTTGATCTGACGAACTGGAAAATATTCTTCTTGTTCTTTTCTGTCTTAGTCATGTTGATTTTAGGTCCTTGGAGAGATCAAACCCACCCCCTTGCTAAATCTGAGCGCTCGATCAATGAGACCCACACATAGTCCAGTAAAAGTCTGCATTTCAGACTACTAATATGTAATGCTGGAGGAATGAAATAAAAAAGCATTGGCTGAAAAAGCAACATTCACTGCTCAAGAAATAATCTGCAGAAATTAGTTTCTTATTAGTTTGTTTCTGCCTGATGGAAAGGAGTGAGCAATGTTCTTATGGACATTTTGATCCTTGTCATATGATTCCCTGGGCACTGTCAGAAGTGATCCCTGAGTACAGAGCCAAGAGTAAGCCTTGAGCACTGCTGCATGTGGATTCACAAAAACAAACACTAAAAAGAAATATAATAAATAAAAGCTGGATACCTGTGTTCAAAGGCCTAAAAGATGTCAGGGTGGGGTATAGGTTAGGGGGATCCTTTGTGAACCCTTGTTGGAGGATTATTATTGCTGGGATATCATAGTGTCATTGCCTAGTCTTGCCTCACCCTTGGGCTCAGCAGGTCTCAATCTTCATGATGTCTTGGCTCATACTCCAAGTTTGAAAATGAAGTAAAGCCACAGATTTTTACTATTCAATAACAGGGGTTTGTGAATAGAGCCAAGAGACACTGATCCCCCAAGAAATGGCCACACATTTATCCCCTACAACACTGCTCAAGTGATGAGGAGCTGTGTCTTCCTCACCAGCCTTTTCATTGGTGGACCCGATTAGGCTGGGTGTTGCAGGTTGGGTATGGCAATGGCAGGCTAACCTGATACAGCTTTTACCTCTCCCTGAATGCTTGCTTTCTGAGACTGATGCATAAGTGTAAGTCATCTGGTTTAAGCTCACTCAGGAGGTAAACTGCCTTCTTTCCTTTTTGCCAGTGAAGAAGCAAGTTCAGTCACTTACCCAAGGTGGAAGGTGAGAGAGGAGCACCCTGAAAACAGAACAGGAGCTGTTGCTGGGCTTGGAAGGGGGACTATTCCATGGGCCCGGGACTCATTTCACCTGACTCTGAATTAAGTGGGACACTCCGGGAATGTCTCCTCCCTTGTGAAGCAAGGGCTTATTGGGAGTATGTGTGTATTTGTGGGTGTTTGTGTGCCATATGTGATGTGTGTACATAGGCTTAAATATATGGTATATTTGTGTATTTATGTGTGGTGTATGTCTGTGTTGTGTGTGTTATGTGTGTGTGTATGCTGTGTGTACGTGTGAGTATATATGTATGTGTGTGGTGAGTATGGTGTGTCATGTATGTGGATGTGGTGTGTGTAGTATTATATATGTGTATGTGTATGGTGTGTATGGTATTATGTATGTACGTAGTATGTGCATGTGGTATGTATGATGTGTGTGTGTATGTGTATGTGGTGTATGTCTGCTGACAGGGTAGCTATTCATTGCTTCATTCTCCCACTAGCTCACAGGGAGAGACTGTGTAGTGGGTGGCCCTGGCTTCTTGGTGGCCTCCTGATGTCAGGCAGCTTCACTTCCCAAGGGCATGTTGCCTGTAAGATGAGGTCAGAGAATGAATCCCCGTCCCTGCACTCTCTCTGTGGCTGTGGGGGGATGCATCTGCATTGCAGAATCTGGCACTGTCCTGGGAACACTTTAGAAGCATTCTGCCCACTGTGGTTGTGCCCACTTTTCCTTCTTTTCTTGAGGTGAATTGAGCCGCAGTAGAGTGTGTGATGGCTCTGGACTATCGTACTTGTTTCCTGCCTGCCTCTAGGGCCTTCCTGTGCACTCCCTGTATCTGAAGGCACTTCTTGGAATAAGGTTTTGAGATCTCACTTCCAGACATTGGCCCCAGTGTGTGCAGTAAACATTAAGCAGTGCTGTGGCTTGGTTATTCAAGAAAGAGCAAAGTGTATTTCCCTGAGAGGAAAGCAAGGGCTTGTTGGGAGTTAAACTGTTGGTGTCACTCCTTTGTAGGTTGAAGCCATTTACTACTTTGTGGTGGGGGATGTTCCTGAGGAATCCAAGAATGTTCTTCAGAGTGCATTGGAGATCCCAGGTCCTCTCTACACTGTGTCCTTTAATGCCCGGGGGAGAGACACCATCGCCTTCTTAAAGGAGCTGAGTGCCAAGACCCAAAGCAGGTATGCAGCCTGTGTGCTTGAGTGACAGCCAGTGACTCCCTGTTCCCACAAGATCTGTGTGTGTCTTAGACTCTGAGCTCCATCTTTCCAGTAGGCCATAGGCTTCATATACCTTTGCTTCTCAGCCCTGTGTCAATCCTCCTCCTCCTCCTCCTCCTCCTCCTCCTCCTCCTCCTCCTCCTTCTCCTCCTCCATCCTCTTCCTCCTCCTCCTCCTCCTCCTCCTCCTCCTCCTCCTCGGGAATTCTGATACTTTGATGTCTTGGCACTTGTTGACCCTAAAGGTAGGTTCCTTCCCATGTTTATTGATTCCAGAGACCTTCCCCCCACAAATACTTTCACATACAGAGCAGCTGAGCCAGAGCCCACTCTTCATGGCAGGGGCAGGGGCAGCACTTAGGCCTTACTCCTGGCTCTGCAATCAGGGATCAGTCCTAGGAGAACTTAGAGGACGCTATGTGATACTAGGACTCAAAACAGGCCTGACTGTGAGCAAGTTTGCTGTCTTTGCACTATACTATGGCTTCAGTCCCCTAGTACCTCACTCTCAATGGGATTCTCACACTCAGACCCAGTCATCTCCTGCTCTAATCACCCAAGGCCAGGTACCAGCCCCTCAGCACTACTGAAATCACTCAGACTTGCACTCTCAAGCCTTAATGCTTCTTGCAGGATCAACAGTGAAGAGTCTTGTCCCTATTTCCTCTTAGCCCTGTGACCTCCTGGTCTCCTAGGCACCTCCCCATGTGGTTCTGTATTGTGGCATGTGTCTACCTCTGCCACAACAGAATGCCACACACTGGGTCGCTTAGACAACAGAAATTTACTTCTGACTGTTCTGGAGGCTGGAAGCCCAAGGTCAAGGCACCCACTGACTCCTCACTATTGGGGGAGTCTCTCTCTCTCTCTGTCTTTCTCTCTTTAAATTTTTGAATTTGGATATATTTAATTACAGTGAAATTCTTTCAAGAATTTTAGATCCTTAGAGTAAAAATCTAATAAAATAGTGTTTGAGTATTTTAAGTACAATAAATATCCCGTTCATTTAAGCTCTTTGGGGGAATCTCTTTATTAGCTTCTAGATGTCTATCTTCTTTACATGGTGGGAAAAGGGAGTAGGGGGAGGAAGGGGAGGAAGAGAGTGGGGGAGAGGAAGAGGTGTGAATTGGGGAGGGAGGAGAGAGGTAAGAAGGGGAGAAAAGAGAAAGGGAGTGGAGGGTAGGGCAGAGGAGAGAAGTGAGCTTGCAAGTTCTCTGGCCTTTCTGTTTCTAAGGACACTAATCCTGAAGCAATAGTCCCACCCTCTTTTGACCTAATTATTCCTTACAAACACTAAAACCCAATGCAGTTCATTTTGGGGGCTAAACCTTTAACATATGAATTTGGGGATGGGGATACATTTTAAACTATACAGGAACTGCCAGTAACAAACCGTCTTTTCAGTGGCAATTATCTCCTGATCCAATGATGTTGTCATATTTGAATAGAAGTAAATTCCTTATTTAAAATCAGATTTCTATTGCACTGTCTCCCCTCCACAGGGAGCCCCTGCTCCCCTGTGGAAATAAACCAAGCAACTCCATTCCTAAGCCTGGGTGTTGGAAGTGGGTGCAGGGCCTACTCTGGAGCATTTATCCTTAAATTTAGTTGCTTGTAATGTTTGCCTGAGAGTTCATTAATAATTCAGAGACCTGCATTTACATTGTAGTCTTATTTCACATAATAGAGGAGCCTTGGAGAAATACAGTTAGCACCTTAGTGTGCTTAAGAACTTTCTAGTTTAATTAAAATGCAAATGGGGGGGCGGTGCAGAAGCTGGTCGCTGAGTTTTATTCTCAGAATTACATGACCCCTTAGCATTAAGTATTGCTGAGTGCAGTCTTGGTGGCCTTTGAGTCTCTGGGGAGTAGGCATTGGCACCTCTGATCAAGCCACCAGATCAGTCTCTTTGACCTGTCACCCAGAACAAGTGTTACTGTCCTTGCCAAGACAACTGGTGATTGGAAGGGTGCCCAAGGACAGTAGATAGACAGGCCCAGAGAGAGGTGCCACCTTCAGACCTTCTCATGAAAACCTCAGGGAATTCACCAAGAAACAGAAAGAATCAGAATAGGAAGCACTAAGAAACACCACTTTTGACAAGATCATCAATATTGATGAAAGATGAGGCACTGCTTCAGCTCTGGAATTCTGGAACTTTCTGCTGGCTGCAGTGTGATGGCTTGTATCCCTCAGGACCTCACTGTTGGTGGCAGCCATGGTGTTAGAAAATGCAACAGAAAATACTCCCAGGAAGTTTTTGCCACAACAAGAGAGGAAAACATAGGTTTTGTGATCCTGTGGCCCCGACGAGGGCCCCAGACCTCTCCAACATCTGTTGTCCATTAGTCTGTCCTTTCTAGGGCTTCAGGATTCTTTGTGTTGAGTAGCCATAAGCAGAGATAGTAGAGCTGGAGGAATATTTCTCAGAAATCTCTACTGTAGATTTAAAAGAAAATTCTTGCTTTTGCTGACTTTGCATTTTAGATGATTGCTTTGAGGGTGTGCTTAACCCTTCATCTCCCCTCCCCCACCACTCGCTCTATACCAGTACCCCAAACTTTCTAATGTCTGTGAATCCCTTTGGGGTTCACTAAAATGTGTTTTTTGCCAGTTTGTTGCTACTGCTTCTGGGGCCCCACTTTGAGGAGTTAGATCCTAGACTCTTACCCACATGAAAAGTCATTTCATGAGACCTTGGCAGGGGTGCTTGTGTTCTTGGCAATGGGGTTGAGGTAAACCTGCCAGTGGTCAGCAGGTGAGCCTGTGGTCTCCAGTAGTCACCAAATTTCACCACTGAACCACAGGGTTATGGGCTCTGTTGCAGTCCTTCCATCAGATTCATAGCTTTGGCAGGCCTGTACTGACGAGTACAGGTGGCGTTCCATACTACACAGGGTTCCCTGGGAATAAAAGAATGAAAAGTAGAGCCAATGTGTCATTTCCCCAGGGTCAATACATAGCATTTTGGCTGAGATTAGATTAATTAGCCTATACTTGGGAGATGGGGTTAGACCACACTTATTTGTGCTCAGGACTTACTCATGGCTCTGTATCCAGGGATCACTCCTGTCAGGGCTTGGAGAAATTTATGGGTGTCAGGGACTGAATCTGGGTTGGCCACTTGCAAAGCAAGTTTCTGCCTGCTGTACTATCTCTCCAGCCTCATCCTCATATGAAGAGAAGACTGTCAGTAGTTCAAGTTGCAATGCAGGCCCAGTGCTGGGGAATCAGTACAGGGCTTAAGGCATGTGCTTTGCTTGAGGCATTCCTTGGTTTTATCCCTGGCACCTCCTGATTCCTCCCATGATGCTCACTTCCTATTGGGAAAAAAAAAAGATTTACAATGCATTCTCAGTTCTCTGCTCTTTTGCCTCCCAGCCTTTTTGTTTTGGGACTCGACAAGACTCAGAGAAAAGCAATGAGTCTGGCTGAATGCCATTCAAGCATTACAGAAGAGCAAATCTATGTTCTTGGGAGTGTGACTAGATACCACTCACTAGCCTAAATATGGCCTGTCTCTTCCTGTTTTAGATTCCATGCATTTGCAGAGAGAACACAGTGTGTGGAATTTCCTGATTTCTTCATAAAGGATGGTGATCATGTAAAGACTTGGAATGAGAGGAAACTGAAAGGAAAGCTCCCTCCAGGTACTCAGGAGGGAAAAGAAAGGGTGTGGCTTCTATTGTAATAATCTCAAATCATTAAGGAGAACCTGGATCCTTAGAACAGCACTATGTGGATTTAATCATATATTTTATATTATTTGTGTGATGCAAAGATGTAAATGGTGACTATGTCAGCCTAGCAATCATTTCACTCCCAGGGAAGTGACCTAAAATATATGTTTACTTACTTTTTTACTTCATTAATAAAAATAAAAATAAATAAATAAATAAATAAAATAATTTGGAAAAAAGAACCTTCTGGAGATGTGGCCCCAGGCATGCATGAACTGAGCCTAGTTCTTGGCAAGGATTGCTGCTCTCCTACTGGGGCTAAGCAGGCCTGTTGTGAATGAAGCCCATACTGCATGGGGCTTTCTGCCACCCCACCCTGCAGCATGTGGGATTGAGCTACTTCCTGACAGGCCACAGTGGAGCCTGTCAGAGCTGAAAACTTCCCTATACAGGCTAGGGATGTGATGGCAGTTGAATAGGTACAGAGAAGGAGACCACAGAATGAGAAACATGGCTGGAATTTGAGCAAATAGAACTAGAAGATTACTCAGAAAACCAAGAGATGGGAATCTTTGGGGGAGGGGGACAGGAGGCTGCTAAAATTGCAAGTGCCGAAGACTGAGTGAAGGAGGCCAGGAAACTCCTGTTTGATGGTGAGATGGGTGTGATGTGGGGGGCACTTGGGAGTTGTCAGAATTCTAGCAAGAATTCCTCCACTCATTTCCGGTAATGGAAAGAAAGAGTTTCTGGCTTTAGTATAAGGCAGGGACTGCTCTTGGGGGGTATGGGAGAAGATACGATGCACTTGACCTCTGCCTGAAAGTTTCCTCTGTTTATGTGATGATGTAGCCAAAGCTCCCAGAAGAGAGATAATGGGATGGACAGGAGGTGGTTGTGTCTCCAGTCTAGGAGGTCAGACTGGAGACAATAGTAGAAGGGAAAATAAGAAAGACTTGTCCCAGCAATATGGAGAACTCTTCAAAAGTAGAAAAGAGCTCCCTTATGAACCAGTAATACTACTTCTTAGAATCTATCCCCCCAAACACAAACCATTAGTTATAAAAGACATTTGCATACCAATGTTCATAGTAGTTGTTACTGTGTCTGGCATATCGAATACTCTCAGTAGCTTGCCGGGCTCTCCGAGATGGGCAGAGGAATCGAACTCGGGTCGGCCATGTTGGCTGCGTGCAAGGCAGACGCCCTACCCGCTGTGCTATCGTTCATAGTAGCATTTAGTACAATAACCAAGTTTTAGAAACAACCCAAACCCACTTATGATGAATGGATCAAGACTTTGTGGCAAATATACACAACAGAATACTATGCAGTGCAAGAAAAAACAAACTAATGCAGTTTGCTGGGACATTGATGGAACTAGAAGGTATCATGCTGAGTGAAGTGAATCAGAAGGAAGGGAATATAGAATCATCTCTCTCATATGTGGGACTTAAAGATACAGTAAGGGAACAACAAAGGGCCAGAGGCAACAGGACTGAGTGTATGTGGGGGATGGAGGAGAGCTGAGAGGTAGAGGCTTTGGGACTTTGGTGAAGGGAAGAGGGTACTCTGATGATGTATTATTCATTGATGTATTGTCAATGAACCACAATTGACAATATTGTAAATTATAATACCTCAGTAAAGATTAAGAAAAAAAGAAAGCCTTTTCCTGAATCATACCTTGTCGATTCAGATTCTCAGTGACCGAAAGTAGAGCAGTATGTAGAACTCATGGCATCTAAATGTCTCCAGGGAGACTGAGGAAAATGTCAACTGATATGCAAAGATTAATGTGAAGCTAAGAAAATAATTCCACTCATAGGCCATGCTCGCTGAAAGTAATTTACAACACTAAGCCTAGTGGGCAGTGATTCAATCCTGCACAGAATGCAAGATGTCACCAGCTTCCCTGAAGTGCCAGTTACTGTAAGTGGGGTTCAATCCTGGCAGATGTATTCCTTGGCAACGCAGTTATAAAGAGAAACATATTCGACTGCATTGCCTACATTTTCAGCAACTACCATCTTCTCAATTCTGTGACTCATACAAATTAAATTATAGATAAAAAAACATTTTTTCTTAGACTGAAATGCTCATAGCATGCTCTGCCAATCTAATGCCACTTTGGAGATCATACGGTCTGAATTTGGGGAGAGTTCTCAAGACCTGAAAATGTCATCTTGTCTCCTCTTACCCATCTCAGTATCTCAGACACGTCAATGTCCCACACCCAACCCTCCTACTCAGAAATCCTGGACTGTTCTGGTTTGGGAAACGCATTTCCAATGCTACCTGAGTCTTTTTTTTATGTTGGCATTTACTTTTTAAATTAAAAAAAATTTTTTTATTGAATCACTGTGAGGTACAGTTACAGACTTACAAAGTTTTGTGCTTACGTTTCAGTCATACAATAATCAAGTACCCATCCCTCAACCAGTGCCCATTCTCTACCACCAATGATCCCAGTATCCCCCCCTCCACCTTCACCCCCTTTTCCCAACTCCATCCTACCTGCATCTTTGAGGTGATCCTCCCATATCCTCTCCATCAGTTGCTCCTCTCTACTCCCTAGCTTTTATCTCAAGTATTCCTCAGGCCCCTCTTTAGTTTGAAAAGGCAGGATACTTCCAGATCTTTTGCTTCCCATTGTGAAGAAAGAGTAATTATAGGTAAGGAACTTGGAAAAGCATTGCTCAGAGAATGCACCTGGCAACACAAAGAAATTTCCTGCTGCATTGATTTTTTTCTTTTAATTTTGGATCACTGTCTTACAAAGGTTAAAATTGTCTAAAATGGTTGTTTTACCCCATGCACAAAATCAGCGTGCGTGCGCACGCGCACGCGCACACACACACACACACACACACACACACACACACACACACCCCACCTCTACCCCCTAATAAAAACAAATAAGAATTTTAGAAGCTGTAGTAAAAATATATAACAAATGTTTTATCCATTTAACAATGGCAGGCACATTCACCTCCTCGGATAACAAATCTCTAGAACTCTTTCCACCTTGCAAAACCACCTTGCAGAACTCTATTCCAGTTAAGGGCAAATCTCCGTTCTTCTCCCCCTCTGGCACCCACCATTCTATTTCCTATTTCTGAATCTCACTACCTCAGTATCTCCCGTAAGTGGAATTCTACTATATTTGTCTTTTATGACTGGTTGGTTTCACTTAGCATAATGTACTAAGAATCATTGATTTTGTATCACATGCCAGATTTTCTTTTCTTCTTCAGGGTGAATAAAAAGGATATGTATATACATCATAAATATACATATACACATCATGTTTTGATTGGGCATCTACTTATTGATCAGTGACAATGAGTATCTTTTTCATGTGTTTATTCTAATATATACATACTATTATAATGTAATGTTTTAAAAGTCCAACTTTAATGCAAGAGAATCCAGGATGATCAAAATGTCACCCTGCCAGTAATGCTGTCAATCATATTGGAGCATTAGGTAAAAGGGAAAGTGCATCTCTATGTGCTTACGATTTCTAATGCAGAATTTGTACCTTGCTTATCAAGTGGTTGGAAAATATGAAAATTGAAGCCTATATGTATATTATATTAATAGCACTGTAGCACTGTTCTCCTGTTGTTCATTGATTACTCAAACGGGCACCAGTAACGTCTCCATCATGAGACTTGTTATTACTGTATTTGGCATATCGAATACATCATGGGAAGCTTGCCAGGCTTTGCCATGTACGCAAGATACTCTCAGTAGCTTTCCAGACTCTTTGAGAGGGGCGGAGGAATCGAACTCGGGTCGGCCAGGTCAGCCTAATGCAAGGCAAATGCCCTACCTGCTGTGCTATCACTCCAGCCCGTTATTAATATGATATTAAAATTACATATTTAAGTATAAATATTTTGGGAGTATATTAATATCTCTCACCAAAGTTTTTGGTCATATTTTCAAATTTACCTCATTTGTTATAACATAACTCCTAACTGAAATGAGATAGGAGGAGTAGGTTTCAAAGATACCTTCTTGTGTACAGCATTAGAGATCAAAACCATGACCACAAATTCAAGACATGTGTCCTACCACTGAGCCACTGAAAATGCCTTTAAATGGATAAATTTGTTTCCATTTAAATCAGGCAAGATTACAATGAATTGTCTTTGTCACGGTCATGGTCACGGTCCTTTTGTTGTTCATCGATTTGCTTGAGCGGGCCCAGTAACATTGTGAGACTTGTTACTGTGTTTGGCATATCGAATACCCCATGGGTAGCTTGCCAGGCTTTGCCGTGCAGGCGAGATACTCTTGGTAGCTTGCTGGGCTTCCTGAGACTTAAAATATGCAAGTTTCATATATTGCCTCTCATTTTTGACAATTATTGTTCTGGGGGAGAGGAAATATTAAAAATACATATCTATTTATATTCTGGGATAGGTGACTGGGTGTGTAGTTCAGCAGTGTAGTACTTGCCTTGCATGTGTGAGGTCCTAGGTTGGATCCTGGGCACTTAAAAAAAAGGCAAAGCAATAAAACCAAAGGATTATGTGGCTCTGAGTTTAACTCCTGCACCTCCACACAAGTCAAGTATAGTCTCCAGGTCCTGCCGTTTGTGATTCCCATTGGCCCACTTCATAGTCAAGTGTGTGACCCCCCGATCATTATAACAACAATAACAACAAAAGAAGGGAAGCAGGGAGGGGGACAGGAAAAAAACAGGCACAAAAACTCGAAAAAGTAAAATTAAGAGAAATGCATAAATAGCATATTTATAGGGGGCTTTATTGTTCCACCTGGGCTTAGACCCATTCAGATGGCTCACTGGGCCACTGGCCTTCTGACCTTCTGCCACCTGCACTGGCTGATTTCCAGCCCTGCCTTGATGCTCACTGATCTGTGGAGCACTGTGTGCACACTACTGCTGGAGTGCAGGCTCCTCTCCACCCTGGGGCTCAACTTCTCAGTCCCCCTAAGTA